CCATCGCTGCGATCCAACTGCACGGCCCTGTCTGCTGCTTAACGTCTTTTCGGTTATTTGACTTTCAGATGACAATTTCCTGCTCTCCAGCGGCCTCCTCCCGAGCCCCTCCTCCTCCCCATTCAAACAGACCTCCGTCTCACAGCGGTTCTGAACGCTCCCAATTGTTTCCCGGTTCTCTAATTGCCGCTCACTTTCTGGCAGATTTCTGCAGTCGTACCCGCGATTCATTTATCCGACCTTTACAAAATAAACAACCGGGCACTCAGCGGCTTCTCCCACCTCTTCCAACTGAGAGAAACGAGTCAGAAAAAGTGAAATAACGCGTTGGGAGCTGTTTGCACAGAGCCCCGGAGCCGGAACAAAGCGCTGCAGGCCCCCCACCTCCGCACGGAGCAGCGGGTCGCTCCCTCCGTGTTATTTTATGCTGCGTTGAGCCTTATTTCCCTCTGGCCGGGCTGCAGCACAGTGTGCCATTGTTTCACTTCTCAGCACGTTGGCCTTTACGCAGCGGTTTTCCATCCTGAGCTTTCCAAGTGGAGGAGGTGGATGTTGGAGCTGGGGCTGCAGCACAGCGCTGTGTGTCTGAACGTGGGGCAGCACCTTAACCCCCACCCCACACCCCATATCCCCACCCCACACCCCACCCTGGCTCTGGAGCTGCTTGGTGAGGAAGGAAGGGCACTGAATGAGGCCTGCAAGCACCCGGCTGGCTTTGGCAGGACAATTCTGAGCAGGGGTGGGTGAGGCTGAGCAAGGAACCTGCCCACAGGCACCTATAAAAGAAGGGCAGAAACCACAGCGCCTGGGTGAAAAACACAGCGCCCTCATCCAACGCTATTCAAAATCCTGGGCTGGGCTGTAGGCAACACACAGAGCCCCACAGAGGTACAGCAGGAGCAGTGCCCTCTCTGCACAGCCACCAGCTCCCTTCAGCCCTGCATGGGCACAGGGACAGATGTGGGGCTGCACTCATCCCCCACCACCCGGTTGGACTGCTTTGTCGCTCCGGCAGCACTCATTTTTGTCTCATCATCTCCACGTTGAGCAGTGCTTGCTTCCGAAGCTCCATGCCCACCCCATCCACGTGGAGGCGAGTATCCGTCTGTCTGTCTGTCTGTGTGTCAGACAGTTGGCGGTTTGCTGCAGCACGCAGCCAGCTGTCCTCAGGCAGCTCATTCTTTGTCGGGGTGAACGCCAAATCTCAGCACCAACTGCAGGCGCCCAGCGAGCAGCTGAGGATGCAGCATCACGCAGCGCTGTGCCCAAAGCCAACACTGCCAGCTTGATGCCAACAGCTCACAGCATCACTGCATGGCAAGTGGGCTCCACCCCACCATTTCTTGCTCTCTCCTCTTCTGCACAGCCTCACATTTGGTGCTGCTCCACTGTGTGTTTCTAGGAAGCGTTCATCAAGAAGTAATTGCAGCTCGGCGTCACTTAATGATCGCAGAGCTTCCCATGCTTTGCTCTGGTTGTTGGCATATGGGCCTTTCCCCAGGGAGCTGGACGGTAATTAACGCGTTCTGCGTTCAGTGTTTGCACTCACAGCACTGGGAGAACAGACGTGGACAAAGCACGCATTGTCTGCACTGCGTCGGGTCCCTGCACGGGGTTACAGGAACGCTGCTCTGTGCACAGCTCCCACCTCGCTCCCTTCGGCGCCATTGAAACACTGGGGAAGGGGAATGGCTCTGAGCCTCCCCTGCAGACTGGGGATAGGAGGGACAAAGGGAGCTGAGAGACCTTGAGGTCCCTTCCAACCCAGCTGAGCTGCAATGCTGTGATCCATCCGTGCTTCCTCCTGGATCTCTGTTCTGGGGCTGCCTGCAGATGGGCGCTCTGATGGCTCTGGTGTGCAGAGGGGGCAGCCCTCCATCCACCACAAGGCACCCATCCAATGACAGCACTGACACCAGGCACTCTGTAGGTAAACATCAGAGCAAAGCCAGCACCAAACCTTCCTTATCCCCGTGCCCACAAAGTCATTTACTCTTTGCAGACAGGGGATAATCCATCCTCACAACGGAGAAGAGAAGGCTGAGAGGGGATCTGATCAGGCAGGGCTTGGGAGGATGGGGCCGAGATGAGGGGCACTGAGAGCTCCAGATCTCCTCCACCTGCATACCTGGAAGGAACAGCCCCAGCCCTCCCAGAGCTTCTCTGGGTGAAGGCTGCGATGGTGTCAGCACTGCTCTGTCCTGGGGGTGGCACACGGAGCAGGGATCGCATTTCCTCCTCTCTGAGTCACCGTGGAAGGAGCCAGATTTTTCCAAAGGCCTCGAGAAAAGAAAAGGAAATCCATTTGGGGACGAGAAGCAAAGGTCACGCAGCGCTATGAGGACTTCGAGATCGTTTTGTTGATGCAATTATTTGTACTGCAGTGCTGGCAGCTCTCAACACAGCAGCAGGAATTGCCCCACCTCCCTGACACCCCATAGCGGGCACAGAGCTGAGGGTGAACCCAAAGCCACAGGGATGGGTGAGCAGTGATCCAGCAGGCAGAGAGCTCCAAAGTGCCCACAGCTGAGCCTGCTGCCTGCAGCACACGCTCTGCCTGCTTGAGCTGAAATTCTGGTCGTTCTGAGCAACAGGTATTTGGTTTTGCAATTGTAATCATCACCTCTTTAAGCACGGTGGCTTTTCTGTAGCAGTGCTGTGAGGTTGTGATAACAACGACCGCTTGGAGCCCCAGATTGAGGCACTTCCACCTCAGGATCCTCCACGTCCACCCCAGGTGACAGCAGTGGGACCCTGAAATTCAAATGACACCATGGTGCCTCGTTAGTAAAAGAAATGTGCATTTTGAGATGACAAACCCAAATCGTCCCCATCTGCCCCTCGCCCTTAAGGGTCAGTGCTCACCTGGGGGCGGCGGATTTGGGGCTCCCTGGCAGCATGGCAAAGCCTTGCTATGTAGGGAAGGTCCACACCATCTGCCTGCCGTTATCCTGCTAATCCAGCCCTGCTGGTGGTGAACGCTTTGCATGGATGGATGCAGTCTGGGGGGAATCACACCACCATGTCCAGCTCCACGCAGTCACCTCTCTCCTGGGTGGCAGCGATGTGGCTGCTTTCCCTCACCATAGAGCAGAGCTGAAGCTGAAAGCCTGGGAGAACAGCATCCTTTATTCCCAGAGCATAAATAATGGAAAGAGTCATTCACGTGCTTGTAACAGATTAAAAATAAATAAGAAAGAGCTGAGTTTTGTTGTGGTGATGGTGCACTTCATGCATTGTTCTCACCTCATCCCCGTGTTGGTGCAGTGAACTTGCAGAGGCTTTACTAAGCAGTGACAGAGCCACAGTTCTGCCTCATCACAAAAATATCACAGCAGTGACAAAAGGTAATTCTTCCACATCAGTGCTCAGAAGTGGTGGCACTGCCACAGCATTTCCCTCTGCACTTAAGAGATGTAGCTGTGGATGTAGTGAAACACCCCCTTTCTTTCTTTTTCCCCCTCCTCCCATTTCAGTGGTGGATAAAACAAAACAGGAGAACTTTCTCATCTGCTTCACTACGACTGGTGCTTTAACAGCTATTTATTTCCTGCTCCCAAAGCCGTGCAGGCAAACAACCCCCAGCACAAGTTTGAGGGTGAGCACCGTCCTCCTGCAACGTCACTGCCTGGAAATGGAGCCCAGATACAGATTAATGCCTTTCAGATTTCAGATTTCCATGCATTTTACACAGCAGAAGAGCAGACTCTGCCCTGAACATTGACACAATTGCCTTTGAGAGCAGAACTTCTGTGGCAAAGCATGGGAAGAGCTCCACGCACTCTCAAATCTCCCAGAGCCACACAAATGGAAAAATTCAGTCCTACAGTGGGTTCCTATGGACTTGAAGTTATTGAACACACCTGCTATTGTTACCTGTGTGTTGACACAACAAATACATCATTCTTTACTATGAACCAGAGATATCAAGCTGTCAGTGACTCATTCCATCCTTACGTTCACTCCCATGGACTGTTAGCTCAATTATTACAATCCAATTAAGCTTGATTATTCTTTTTCTCTGCACAGTGATAGCTGTTGCAGCAACGTATCCAGCTGCCACTTCAGAAGGGCTGCCTTGACTCACATGTCAATGCACACTATTAGCAGATACGGAACAAAAAGGAGCCACGTGCTGGGGATGTTGTGATGCTGTTGGTGTCCAGCAGGGCGGCCTTGGGAGCTGCAGCAGCATGGCTACAGAGAAAAGGCTTGAGGTACAGAGCTAAGAGCTTAAACTGAGACCGAGTGGTAAAAGATCACCATCAGTGTGACTTTGGATGATGCTTCGTCTGTTAGAGACAATTCATTAAGAGAGGAAGGAATCCAGTGCCACGAGCCAACAGCTCAGCACCGCAGAACTGCACAGCGCAGACACCAACACGGAAGGATATCAGCTCACAGTGATTCTGTACTAAAAGTATCCACACAGCAGCACTGCAAACAGTGAGAAATGGTGCCTTCACTCAGAAGGGAAGGCCTGCTGCCCCTTGACAAGGATTTGGATGCAATATGGGGTATGGTTGAGTAGGAAGGAATCAAAGTATTCAGCTAAATTCCATTCAGAAGTGAAACACTCCTCGAAAAGCATATTGAATTGCTGCTTTCAAACTTGAATTATTCCTTATGGATGGACATTCAGAAGAAAAAAAGAAGGGGAGACCCCTAAGAACAGAACCTCCAAAGGCAAAAGAAGTGCATTCACATAAAACACCGCAGGGGCTGCAGTGTCACAGCACCAAACGTCACCCACATGTTGGTCAGGTGTGTTTCCTCCAGAAGGTTCTTCAGTTCATTGCTCACACACAACAACAGGTGGCAGCTGTGACAACGCTGCAGTGCTGATGAACTGTGGTTACAAGCACTCCAGCATTCCACGTACACTTGGGCTAATAAACAAAACGTGCTGTGTGTGAGGAAATGCAGCAAGCAGCAGCTTTCAAGACAGCCCTTCCATTGGGCACCTGCAGAACATCAGCTTTGCTTAAAGATCCCACACCACGTCAAATAAAGACTAATTAGGTACCTACACTTAATTGTGCACACCAAGAGGTAGGACTGGTTCCCAAACCAGGCTGCAGCCCTCTTTCCAGAGCGGCTTCAGACTCCAGAACTGATTTGGCTTCTGAACCAGAACTTGAAGTTAAAGGAATGGACAGCAAGGACCTCCCAGCCACCAGGATTCCTTAGATAAGGCCTTATCTGTGTTCTCATCCACCCTGTACAAAAGAAAGCTGCTCAGCCAAGCGTTCGTACAAAAATAGGCAAGGTCTCTTTAAATTTAGAAATTTATTTTGTTTAATCCACAAGCTTTATATAGCTTTAGTTAAAAAAACAAAAACAAAAAAAACAGTGAAAACATGACAATATCCAAAGTTCAGGTTCCTCACACTTCCAAAGAGCACATCTCTGAAAGTGGCTCACACCGTTCAGAGGAACCCTAACGAGACAAGATCTATGAATGGGGCAACGACATCTCACAAACAGAATTTGGGTAACTGAAGGAATTGTTCTGGGACTGCTGATCATGGAAACTGCCCTTTAAAAAAATAAACAAAACAAAAATACAAATGAAATTCCAGTGTTCCAAATCAACATGTTACATCAATATAAACCCACAGTGTCCTGGTAAACAACATGCTTTCATTTATGTACCACTCTAAATTGCTATTCTTGATTTGCTTTAATGGAGACTGTACAGGCAACTGTAGAAAGCATTAAAATATACGTACTTCCTTGGTAATTCTGCAGTGGTTTTACTTCTGGGCAGGCTTACAAACCACAAAGGTTAGTAGCATAATGCGAGTGGATACAAAAGAAGTCAAATGAGACCCTCACAAATTATTCTAAAAGGCTCTGTTGAATTTCAAAGAAACCAGAGAGCTGATGGTCATGTTGAAAACCTTCAAAACAAACCCCTACTGCTTCTAAGAAGTCTTGCTCTAAAGGAAATTATGTTGACTGTCAATGAAAGAATGTCACTAGTACACTGTGGACACCTTTTGCAATGTAAATCCATGCCCTTTGTACATGGTGAACCTCAACCTAGCAATTATTACAACAAATGTTATATTCTAAAGCTCAAACACATTTAGCAATTTGAAATTGAATTCTGAGTACAAACCAAATAAAATGTACATTATATCAAAGGATTCGGCCTACGATGGGGGGGACACCTGTGCCTTCCTCATCGACCTCAGCGCCTTCTCTCGCAGGTGCTTTTCTAGATCATCAAGGTTGTCCTCTGGTTCACTTTCTGTCTCCTTGAAACAAAGAGAAAGCATTTCTTCACAAACTGCAAGCTGAGCTGGAGGGCTGCAGCCCAAGCAGAGTAAAGCATCAAGTAAAATCATAGAATCAGAGAATCACCAAGGTTGGAAAAGACCTCAAAGCTCATCCAGTCCAACCGTTCACCCATTCCCAACAGCTCCCACTGAACCACGTCCCTCAACACAACATCCAGCCTTTCCTTGAACACCCCCAGGCTCGGTGACTCCACCACCTCCCTGGGCATCCATTGCACTGCCTGACCACCCTTTCTGAACAGTAATTCTTCCTCATGTCCAGCCTGAATCTCCCCTGCCGTAGCTTGAAGCCATTCCCTCTGCTCCTATCACTGATGACACGAGAGCAGAGCCCCAGCTCCCTCCAACCTCCCTTCAGGCAGTCATAGAGAGCAATGAGGCCTCCCCTGAGCTCCTCTTCTCCAGGCTGAACATTCCCAGCTCCTTCAGCCTCTCCTCATCAGCCCTGTGTTCCAGACCCCTCACCAGCTTTGTTGTCCTCCTTTGAACACGTTCCAGGGCCTCAATATCTTTCTTGCAGTGAGGGGCCCAATCACACTGTGTTTCTGAAATAGGATTGCTGCCTGCTCTCAAGAGCACTGTGGACATTCAGATCTATTCTCCTACACCAGGCTCTGAAACATTACATCATAAGAACCAAACTCGTACCTTTTTGGGTTCTGTCTCTGCTTCCTGCTCTTCCTGTGCTGAGGTGGTATCTGCTGCAGCCACAGCAGCAGCTGCTGCAGCCACTGCAGCCTTTTCCTTCTTATGCTTTTTGTGTTTCTTGTGCTTTTTATCCTTTTTATGCTTCTTATCCTTCTTTTTCTTCTTCTTTTTTCCACCCCCTTCTTGATCCGAATTCTGCAATAAACAATCCAACAGATACGACTCATTCCCAAGAACCCTGAACTCTGGTAAAAGAAACCCACAGCCACCCCAGGCAATTCAGATGGGCCGTGCAACTCCTGACACTGAGGGAAACAGAGTGCCTCCAGAATGGGACCCTCCCACTGCTAATGGAACAACAGCAGCACTGAGCAGCAGATCTGCAGCACGTGGCCATGCTGTGGCTGAACACAGAACGTAACAGCAGGCCGACCTGATCCACGTGTGGCAGTGATGACACACCGACCTCTTCAGACATGAATACTAGAGGTGAAATCTAACTCCCTAAAACAAAGGGAATGAAATGAGGTCCCTAGGAAGCACATTCATAGAACAGGTAAGTAGGCCAAATTATCTTCTTCCTATTATGAACAGCTGGCAAATAAGACTGCTGAGTACAAGTAAGAACACCTCGCTTCGTAGGCCGTTAAGCTCACTACAAGTGGAGCATACTTATTAAATAACACCAGCAACCTCAGGAAATGAGAAAGTGTTTTGTTTCAGAAGTTAAAATGTACATAAAGGCACTTCCCTCACTCTCAGAGAAGTCAGAGCTTGAAACATGCCTTACAAATATTTAATTTTGTAACTACAGAAAGTCTCCCCAAGGTTACTCAGTTCAGCAACCGAGCCTCTACAAAAACAACGCCACGTAACCCCAGAGAACAAACCAATACCCTCGCAGGCGATGGGCTCTGAGTTGGACTTTTAGTCTTTTTTGCAGGTGACCAGTTGGCAGAAGGGGAACGAGAGCGAGCA